CCCCAAAACCCCAAAACCCCAAAATCTAGAATAGATAAGATTATCTAAGATGTAATATTTTACTTTCATTAAATTTATAAGATCAGATTTTCTATTTTCTCAATAACCTATTCATGACAAACAAGAATATTCAGAGCGCTGATTTTATTTGATAACTTAGACTCTTCCCTTTTTTTGTTCTTGTCATCATTGTAAACCTTTGTAATACATTGATCAATCAAATTCCTTTGGTCAAACATTGTGATCTTTATATACTCTTAATCAATCTCCAAGAGCCTTTTGCATCGAGGTAATTATTTCTTTACCAAATTATCCAAGACTTCTCGAAATACCTTGTAATTATTCATAATATCAGTAATTTTAGATTTATATTTTTATTCATTATTTGCTGCTGTATCTATTTTGCTCTTGCATACTCTTGCGATTTCTTGGATCAAATCGATATTAACTTAAATCTTTTGATATATCTTTGGGTCCTCCAATGGAAGAAACTATAGTTTCGGTAATTGATCATTCAGCATATTTCCTGTGGCTGAATAAAGAGAACTCTCTTAAGATATTTGAGATTTTAAAAGCTCCAACTTTTGATGGTAGAGTGAGTTTAGTTCTTTGATTAGTTTCTTTGAATGTGCCTAGATATGCTTCTCAGAATTGTACTATGATAACCCTACCATATTGTTGATTGACTCAGACGCTTTCAGCTGCAGTTATTTCTATAGCTAACAGTTTTCTTCAAAAAGCACAGAGTTTTATTAAGCCAAAGATTCTAATTGCGACATATGAATGTGTTCTTTCTACTTCAAGTATTGCATAACTGTAACAATTTGATTGATGATCCTTGAGAATTTCTAATTAAATGATTCGAGATACTCTTTTTACTAGGCCATATCTGAAATAATATTGTACTAGAAGTTTAACTATTATATAGCTTTAAACTCCTCATTTGAATCTGGGTCTTACTCACCTATCTTATAATTGACTGAATGTCTGTGAATAGTCTATAAAGATTTCTCAAGTGTGGTAAAAGTATCCAGAATGATTTTCTTTAAGTTTAAATCTTAAATAAACTTATACTCATTATCATATCTCTCCATAAGCTCAGAAACGTCATTTCTTCTCATTGGAAGCTGAGTAATATTTTGAATATCACCAATATCAAACATATGGTTATTCATTGGAAATTTAGACCCACTTTTATTCTTCATATTGCTTTGAAATTCGATATTTATACAATCTCCTCCTTCATTGGGACTAATTTCAGGATCAAATTTTATTGCTGATTAGAATTTATCAACTTAAGCTTAAAACTTTACCATTTGCTTTTCTATATTCATTGTTAACTCATCTAATTCATTGTCCTCATTTACAATAACTACTTTATCCTCTAGATCTTTGAATTGTTTCCTCAGACTATCAATCTCGATTTACTGATTCATTCTCTCCAAGTCAAGTTAATGCATGTTGAATTCAGTCTGAATTTCATTGTCTTTAAATTAGTTCTTAGGGTAATCGTCCAAAGAATTAAGAAAATTTTCATGCTCGGCATTTATTATAACTGAATTTTGATTGAAGCTTTTTGATATTTCAACTACTGTCATATTTGAATTTGTGTTTTAACTTTTGTTTACCTCTTTAGATCTAGGAGAGGATTATGTTCCTGGCACAGATGCTTTCTTAATAACTTTAGTCAGAATTTAATTTGTTTAAACCTTAGTCTTGATCTTTGGTTTTCTATCATTTGGGGATTTGCTGGTCTTACGCTGATATATAAATCTGTCATCTATCATTTTATTTTGTTTTTATAATTAATGATAAATTTTAGTTATTTGATGCTAAGGGGTTTTGGGGTTTTGGGGTTTTGGGG